TGCTTTTGAAGGGAATTAATATCACGTTTTTAAGGAAGATAAACCATTTTTTGGTTTATTACAATATTTATATTCTATTGTATTATCTGCTGACATTTCTTTTTCTAGAACGTTTGCCTCCAAGGCCAAAACCATGAGTGCATGTGTGTAAACATGCACACACAGACACGGGCATTTTTTTGCTTAACGGAGGCTTTGGGTTAAGTCAGACCGCTCATATTGTTACATCATTATCATTTCCAAAGAGTTGACCAAAGAGATTAGAGAGGTCAAGGTAAGCTTCTTAACCAGGTGAGGAAAGAGAAGGAAAGAGAGCAGTCTCTCCCTGCAGCCAGCCTGACCCTTGGACATGAGAGGATGAGGGATGTCGCTGGTTTCCCCAGGAGAAGGAGAGTCTCAGGACTCCCCACTGCTGACGGGAAGGTCTGGGTCTCTCAGCCAGACACACACAACCTTCTGGGGTCTGGTCTGCCCACGCTCAGCAAACCTTCAGGTCAAGTGGCCTCCCAGCTACGTTTGTCCCAGCACCTGAGCGACCATGCTGAGTGGGGGCGGGGGAGCAGAGGGAAGCCCAGGGCCCTTCTCAACAGGCCACCACCTCCCATAAAGGGTAGCTGCCGTGGCACATGAGCGCAGGTCACTTGCTGTGGCCAAGGCGGCCACGGTTTCTCTGAGGCCCCCTGGCTTGCTCGGGGAAGCATACAGTGAGTTATGTCGCCACCTATCGCCTGGTTTGCTCAGCAAGTCAGCCAGGGGAAAGAGAGGGGAAAGAACTCAAATCCTTTCTGAAGACAGTACCTGGCCTTGGATGGAGACAGAAGGGAGAGAGTCTTGATGACCTAGGGGAAGTTGAACCAGCCCTTGCTCGGCTCTAGCCACACGGCCTGGGGCAAGTCCTTCCTCCGCTGGGCCTCAGCTCCCTTCCCTCCTAGGAGATGCTAAGTGGCGTGGGTGCTGGTAGATCAGCGGGGAGGGTTAGAGTGAGGAAAGCAAGGCTCCCAGAGCCCGGGCTGAGCTCGGGCGGCTGTGAGGGGGAAGGCTTGTGGAGGCCAGAGGCCCCGTCCCCACCAGTCCCGTGGCAGTGCTGAGGCAGGAAAGGCGGCGGTTCCACCCAGGCTCTCACAAGGAAGAGTCGGGAGACCCTCGGTTAGTTTATCTTTTCTGTTGGAGAGGAAGAGAGAGACTATCTCAAGCAGGCTCCACGCCCAGCGTGGAGCCCAGTGGGGCTCGATCCCACAACCCTGGGACCCTGACCTGAGCTGAAATCAAGAGTCAGACCCTCAACTGACTGAGCCCCCAGGCACCCCTCTCGGTTAGTTTCTTTTTTTTTTTGGAGAGGAAGAGAGAGACTATCTCAAGCAGGCTCCATGCCCAGCGTGGAGCCCAGTGGGGCTCGATCCCACAACTGCAGGACCCTGACCTGAGCTGAAATCAAGAGTCAGACCCTCAACTGACTGAGCCCCCAGGCACCCCTCTCGGTTAGTTTGTTTTTTGGAGAGGAAGAGAGAGACTATCTCAAGCAGCCTCCACACCCAGCGTGGAGCCCAGTGGGGCTCGATCCCACAACCCTGGGACCCTGACCTGAGCTGAAATCAAGAGTCAGACCCTCAACTGACTGAGCCCCCCCAGGGGCTCTCGGTTTCTTGACCTGCCCCCCAAGCCAGTTTCTTCCTCCCTTGGTAAGTTCGCCTCAGAGTCTCCCCAGGAATGACCAAAGCCCTCCCGTGAGGGGCCTGATTGGCCCCACGGACAAGCAGCGTCCCCACCCCGCCACCACACAGCCCAAGTAGCCGTGGGAAGGCTGACTTCGTAACACCTCCCGATGCACACATCTCGTGAGAAGGCAAGACAAAGACCCACGCGGAGCAGGCCGACACAGCGGTCTGAGCGGGAGGCCGCGGGAGGAGAGTCACAAAGCCGGAGGGCCGCGCAGACTGGTGAGACGCCAGGACTGAGGAGCGTCACGAGCTCGCGTCTCCGCACCTGCACTTACTGCCTCCGAACCCACGTCAGGTGAAAGGTGGTTTGCTGAGAACAAACCGCGTGACGTGACCCGAGGGGTGGGCCAGACCAGCGCCCCCTGGAAGGCATCCATGCCTTGTGCCGCCCACGTGAGGAGCCCTTTCAGACGTGTTTTTGGACATCAGCCTATACAAGCTGGCTTCCTTGTTCTTCGCGTGTCCCCCTGGCAGAAGGAGGAGACGCCACTGTCCCACTCCGACACGCGTGGCGGGTTGGGAGCAGCCGGCTGGTGTTCTTTCAAGGCACGCCCCGCAGTCCCAGATCCCAGCCCCGTGCCACCCCTCTGAGGCATCCTCCGCGGATCCACTGCAGCCGGGTCCCCGGGTTTTGATGACGCTAATAATGCACGGAGACATCGTAAACTGTATAGAAGCCCTCAGAACAAAACGTGGAGCCCTCGGTCTCCCATGCTGCGCTGGTCGGAAGGGCCACTGCTAAGTGTGAAGCACAT